GAGGCTTCAAACTTCCTAAATATGTCAGAGTAGGAATCTTGTAGGAGGTTTTTGATTTTGTCATCGAAGCTATATGTTTTTGGAAGGCATATTCCATTTAACAAAGTGTCCTTTTCTCATAAAAAGCTCAGTCAATATAAAGTAAGGCAAAGACATCATGAAAAGTTAATGAAAGAAGAGGTAAAGAAGATTAAATAGATCTGGGAAAAAGAGAGGAAGGAGAAAGAAAACAAAAAAAAAAGAAAAAGGGGTTTGACAGACTAAATAAAAATCGGATAAAAGTACAAGAAAAATTTAGAGCTCTGGTACACTTCCTATGAATCGTAAAGGTATTTATTCTCATTTTGACTCTATGTGTTATCTATATGTTGTATATATCTTATGTTTCTACTGTATTTGGCCTACCCAATAGTAGTCGTGTGTATTTAAGTCAGCCCCTTACCACATTTTTGCAAGTTTCTAGTGCAGTGACGTCCTCCCACCTGTTCCATAATCAGTCTTGGGGCCATATCACCCCAGACTGTGTCTTTTGGGTCTATAATTCTTGGGGCTATAAGGCTGTTTTGCTTTGGTATCATAAGGGCTATAGTGTCCCATCATACTACTATCACCAAGAAAACCATTTCCTCACAAAATACAAATGCGTGTGTGATATTGCGGATTCAGTTGGTGGACTCGCTGCAGCAGCAACCGTTGGCTTGGGTGTTACCAGATTTATACACATACACCAATCGGAATTGTTGTTGGACCGATATCGATAGTAACTGACGTGAATGACGGCACTGGAAAAATAATTACAGAAAATTTGTGAATATGTGTATACTCATACTATCGCTTTCGAACAAAGTAGCCTTAGCACAATTTCCGTGCTCTACTCGATGGACAAAGAAGAGAAAATAACTACCATGACGAAGTTAGAGAAGTTAGTGATAAAAAAAAAATAGTAAACCACCAACTTAGATACGGGAACTGAAGTGCTAGCGACTCAAAACAAGTAAACCGACTTAGTCTGTAAAAATTGAGTAAACATTTTGTAGCATGCATCAGTCTGCGCTCACGATACTTCCTTTTCCCAGCCCAAAATCCATGACGCTGGTTTCTACACGGGATAAAATCACGGTAGGCCGATAAATCAATAATGATAATGACTGACACTTAAAGGGATGGTATTGTATATTCATTAAAACCTGCAAAAATATGCAGACAATCTTGTCTGCTTACATCGATGTACATTTAATACGCTTACCTGTAATGCTCGCGGGTGTTGATCTATTGTCGGCTGAAGGATTCTTTTGGCGATATGTCTAAATATTTCCGGAACAAATAGTATATTTGAAGACCAGTAAATCCAAGTTGAATAGGAAAAAAAACCTTCGTCAGTTGACCATTTTGAATTTCGCGCTAGGTATGGCTTTAACCACATTCAGGTAAGTCGATGTGTTCCGGAACGATGTGCATGCAGCAAAATTGCATATATTAATAAACATGTTGCATCAGACCAAAGTGTATTTTCCATCACTATCAACACAAATTTGGGGGTTTGATTTATCGGACGACAACCGCGGATGTATACGTGTGCAAAAGCATCCCTAGTGGGAAAACATCATGGGAAATTATAGGTGGTTTCGGACCTGGAAATCGAAATTGGTAAGCCGGTATGTACTGTTACGACCTAGGGACTTAAACTAAGTACCACGAAAGAGGAACAACCAATAAGGTTTCTAAAATAAAAAAAAAATATTAATTCATTACCTAAAATACAAAGGGAAAAACTTAAAAATTATTTACAGTACATATTTCCTCAAAGTTTCTATCAATTATAGTAGATCTGATGGAATCCGAATGGGCTCTAATGTTATTCCGATTGATAATATACTTATGAGCTAACTACACAGAATAAGCTGTCGTTACAGCCTCCGATTCTAAACTTTGCTAATGATGTGTTTCCAGCTATCCTGTTGCCCTATCAATTTTCTAAATAATTTTTTTCCTTGTTTTGTCCTTGGCAGAGGGCCAACACATAATTTTGAAACAGGGTTCGTTTACTGAACCACGATGGGAGCTAGCTTCTTTCTCCTTTTACGCATCCTCTGAGGTGTGTCACAAAGAGAGAGTGTCTGTCATGAGCCAATGTAAACACCGCTGTTCTGAAGCATTGTGGGAGTAACACCTTTACACCTGACCTGCTTCCATCGTGAGAGGTCCATTATAGTCGGAAAATTAATTTTCCTAGTAGAATACGTTGCTGTCCTTTTCTCTTTTTTAAAGGTGAACTTTCAGCCGAATTTTTCAGTATTAATGTAAGAAATGACACTTAGTCTAATTTCCTATTCCGGGTCCTCGGTGTCATTTCCTTCCTAGCGCAATGGTTTCAAAGCATACGTTTCCATATATTTTACTTAGGGTTTCCCTTGAATCCTTCTCAGCACATTGCTGAACCCGTGTCACTGCAAAAACAGTATTGCGATTAAGGACATCCAGCTCTAATAAAGCATCCGCTACAAGGTCTGGTACCAGTTATACCCGAACTGATCCATTGAATAATAACTTCGACAACTGCAAGATCGACCATGAAATGGCTGGCCTATGGCAGTATACAAGTTAACTGTATGTCCCTCAAGTCAATTTTTTGTGGTCTTTGAATACCAAAATCAATCTTTTTTCTTTCATTCTCTTCCTGCAGAGTTGTCGTTACTTAATTCTCATTTTTTATATCGACATCAGCGTGTATCAGTGTTATCAATTTAGCTTTCTGAACAGCACCTTGCTGTGGTCTTCCATAAACTTTATCTTCAAAATAAACTTCTACTTCTTCTGTCATTGCTATAGCTTGCCTCAAGACAAGACGTCACAATTATAATTCGAACTTTAATCTGACCTTTTCTAACAGCAATTTCACCGAAATCCACCACAAGAACACAATAAAAACTGAATCCAGTTTTTCTCTACAAAATCCTCCAAATTCTACCAAACTTCAAGGCAGATGCCTACAAGAACTAACAATCCCACTGAATTATACGGCAAAAGTTTATCAAAACTGAAGCCAGTTTAAAAAGTTCGCAAAACGTTTAGAAATCCAAGGCAATGTCTTGCAATAATAGTTACACCCGATTTTACGCACTTTCACCAAATTCACGACTCACCGCTTATCAGTTTTCTTCATGGATCCTACCACTACTGCAAACTGTTGCGGGTTAAAGTAAGGACAGTAGTTTTAAACCTTTTAATGTGACTTCTCGGAATTTATAACCCAGATTGCCTGATAGGGTATAGGGCACTTGTTTTGTTTCATAAACTGAGGATAAAAGTTAATATGAAATCATCAGACCACAAAAGCTCAAAAGTTCTTCATTGTCAGCTTGGTGTTAATGTGAAATATTAAATTAAAACAAACACTCAACCCACACAACTAAGACGTGACGGCAGCAACTGACACTGTTCCGACTCGAGTACCAACAATTTTTTAATTTTTTTTACAAGAGACACGTACTGTTGTAATCCGTTCATAACAGCATCTTAACATATGGGGTCACAAGTGTGCGAGATATTCCTAAAAAATTTGTTTTTAGTACCCACGTCAAATGATTGAGGACCACACTACACAATGACGTTTATTTTGGAAGTAAGACGACAACCAAAACAACATCACTCTCAGAATAGACGGATTACATTTTCGAATTAGGGCGTACATAACCGTCGCAAGGGACATAATTCATTACAGTATTAAGAGTGAAATTTGGGAGAGTTTTTGCCATTGGTTTCTTATGTCAAATCAGCAAAGATATCACTGCTCTGATGGCTTCAATTACACGGTTTCATTTACCGACTTGGAATCCTCTGTCCAAACGAAAGACAGGAGTTAAGTCAGGCCTGACATAGCAAAATAGACTTAAAGCATTACAGTACACCTCAGTAATGTGAAGTAATTGCAAGTCGTACTTTTCTGATCGTTATTGTGTGTTCCAGTCTAAAGTAAGTAATAACCACCAATCAGGAAGGACAAAATGAAACCTATTCAGTATATGACCTACCATAAATTTAAGAGTAAATGTGACCGTAAATGATTAGAAATGTATGTAAATCGCACACGGCGAAATAGTTTAGTGTCTTTACGGTACTACAAAGGACGAGTGGCTCGACGCGTCAATGGTATTCACTTCACTTTAGAACTTTAGAGTAACGTGGACATTTTTACAAAACTTATAAATGGGGTGGGAGTAGTTGGTTGGGATCTGAGCCACAACCACAAACCAAACCAAACCACCGTTCTTTATAAAAAAAAAAAAAAAAAAAAAAAAGTAGGGGCGATCCCCCTGGGCGCTTAGAACCATCGCGCCTCCACTAAGCAAATTAGCATGGAATCGGCGAGGGGTCAGATTTCGAACTGAGGCAGATAACTACTTTGCTTACAATGGTTTAAGGGGCATCCATGTTGTCAACATTTCTTCATATTGTTAACATTTATTTTTTGTTTTAATGAAGAGGAGTATCTCTGCCATGGTCATTTAGATTAGGTCCTGTCTTTATGTCTCGTGCATACGTTTGTAGCTTGAATGCATCACACCTCCAGTCTCAGTTTCCATAAGGTATTTAGCTATGGTATCGACAAAAAAAATGTCTCCCAAATATTTTGTGTGAGGTGGGGAAACCCCACCTTAAAGCAAATGTAAAAGAAAATAAAATGACCTATTACGGCTTTCCCCTTAAATTAAATGGTCATTGCGAAAGTGTCAAATCTAATTATCTTCCGGAATAGTACAATCCAAGGAAAGCATACGCTTTATGCATCATATAACGTTGGCGACATTTAAATCGTAGCACTAAAAATACCAAGTGCAAAATCTGCTTTTATAAAAATTTTATGACCAAATTAATTTTAAATCTATTTTTCACTCAGTTCTTTCATGCATACTGGGTTAACTAAAGGTGCGTCTCGTCGCATTGACAGATGTTGGCTTTCTAAGAATAACCATTAGATACTCCAAAACATTACACACACCGCTCCGGTCGCCTAGTAGTTAGAGCGTCCGCCTCGGATGCGAAGGGCGCGGGTTTGAACACCGGCTGAATCATACTAAAGACATCAAAAAGGGAACTAGCAGCTGCCTCGCTAGGCGCTCAGCATTAAAAAGCTAGTAGTTAGACTGGTCGGCCTTGTGTAAAGATAACATGACTGGGTGGGACATCATAATACATGTCTGCTGAATGATAACCCAGTGCTAGATATCACAAAACACTGTCACGCTGCAGGTGTCGTAGCAATATGACTGAAAAATTGTTAAAACTAAATTAAAAATCCAAATCAAAAACACATCACAAAAATAAAACTATCTTGGTTTCCACGTTAATTCCTTCGTACCCGACGTCTTCCATAATTATTCAAGTTAAACGAGTTGTAAAAAGTTCATTCTGGATTTTGTAATACCATTCACAGCATACCTTGTTCTTACGTCCGTCACATCTTGACTAAACTTTGCATCCAGGTGCAGGCACTACCTTGTGGTGGAGAATCCGTGTTCCACGACATTTTGCAGGGTTATTTTAAGGCAATTTACAGTAATATACTTTTTTTAACGCCGGAAATTTCTCATAAAATATCTCCCAAAACAAAACATAACAACAAAAAACCTCCAAAAACTAATCGAACTACCGTTCTATTTCCACAACTGGAAAAATTGCTGAACTGACCAAGAAGTTATGGATGGGAAAAATAAAACGGTCCGATGCATTCGTACTTTTCTGACCATCACCGTTTCTTATATAACCGATATGGTCCGAAAACAGCTTTTTGGCATAAATTCGAGGTAAGATCCGAAGGAATTAACTTAAAAGCTGCATGTGTTTTCTTTCAGTCTGAAAGACCTTGACCATTAAGCCACAAATGTATAGGCTTCTTCATTGCCATAAGTCAAAGCTATCCAGCAATTTCAAGTGTACTTTGTTGACAACCAAAGTTCCTGTACGTAAACCATATTGATAACGGCCTCACTGATATCTCACGTTTCGTTTCATGGTCGGCGCTTAAAAAATTTCCGATACATGCCCGTTACCGTTTGAAGCCTGGAGAAACCATTAGTTAAGAAACCCATGTGAACAGGTCACCGTTAGGTCACGTTTCACTGACATGCCCCCAAAAGTGTCACAGAACAATCTTTCCCTCTCAAAACTACTTTTCCCCGAGGACAAAAACCTACCCACTATTTTTATAGTTTAGAAAAACGAGATTTAGCTCCTATTTCCCTCTTTTATAAAATAATATCCTCCGAAAATAACATTCAGGCTTTTCCCCTTAAGAACAGTCGATTATTTTTCTTGAACTAACAATGAATGAAATAGGATGACGTCAGAGTAGCAAAATATTGTACGTGCACATTCTTATATTGGACACTACGATTTTGTTGGCACGCAAAAATGCGCTTGCATGATCTTCGTTGTCATTTTTACAACTGGTCGATAATTTTTAACCCAAATTTTGGGAAAGCAGTTGATTAACAAGAGTTGATTTTCCTATGTGAAGAAAGTCAGTTCAGAGGTGAAAGTAATTCATGAACGACTTTTCCCTGCAGGAGATACGCCATTGCTAATTTATACCCCGGGATTTTTTTTTATTTTTATTTTTATTTTTTTAAACTTTATAAGATTGTTGGGTGGGGCGAGTTGATTTGCTTAAAAGTACCATACCAGACCGTTGTGTTGCTTAGTCATGACTAGCTTATGGATTCATATTTGAATCTCGCAACATGCTGCTTATGAATATTCGTAGTTCGATCACATATGAATCATTGAGTAACGGTCTAAATAAAAACTAAATAGTGAAAAAATACATTACAGTCGGTCTCTGTGATATACAGAGTTAAATAGACTCTTTGAAGTTCGAAATACAGGTCAGCTGCTCTATTGTAACTGAATACGAGTCCTAATTTATGAAACTAACCGTCTGCAACAGCTGCCGCACTAAACCAGTTATGACAATGCTGTTGATTGTTCTCCTTCTATTTAATAGTTTTGTTAGTTAGAACTCAAATATTTTATTTGTTACAAACTTAAAGAGACCTCGATTTTTGTTCCCTGTACAGTTAGAATATATTTAACAATTCAAGCATATGATCGTCTGGTAACGACTTCCGTGTAGCAACTAAAACAGACTACCAAAACGTGTATTCACTTGATACTTGTGTCCCACCAGTGTCTTGAACGAAAAACTTGACCAGTGTGATGGGCAAGGGTAATTATACCACACTGCCAAAAGGAGGGGGGATAAAATGACCTTGAATTTATTTTCATGTATACGTATGCAAAATCTAACACTCCTAAGGTATTCATTGCCCTGACCTACATTATATACTTTGTATCTAAGATTTCTAAGAACAGAGCACATCATAGATGGCCTTAATGTCACGACATGGGTCCGACTAAACTGTAGATTATACGGTAAAATTCGGTGCTAACCGGAAAAGTCCAGTACGAGACAGAAAAACTTGACTGCAGACAAAACGTGATCTACTTCCCAAAACTAGGTGATCAGTAGAACCTGCTAGGATAAACTGAAATCTAATCGATGTACATGATAGCAAACTTTGAGACGGAGGGGTGAGGGTGGGACAGATGTTTACAAAGATTATTTACAATGCATACTGAACCTGCCATTTTATTTATGAAGTTGACTGGTCCTAAATTAAAATCGACTGTTTTACATATGTACATAGAGATTTTCTACTGTAATAGTTTTAATACTTGAGAAAATGTCACAGTTCCTCACCTTCTTGCATGATAATGGGAATAAACTATGTGGAGCTCAGCATTTACCTACTCTTAGTAAGCAAGAAATCATTCGTTTGATGGAAACACAAACTTTCAAGTCTACTTACAAGAGTTTACTAGAGTTGGTTTTTGTTTGTAAACAACCACGCCGCCACTACAACCCAAGACATAGGTGATATGATTTTTTTTTCATGAGAGTTTGTGGCCCATATATTGTTTAGCGGGATGGATTTTAAAAGAAATTTCAAATCATGGCTTTGTTCTAACAAAAACGTGTGAAATATAATGAGTTGGTCTGGGGATTTGCCACCCACCCACTGAGTGATACGAAGGTCGATGGCCAATGAAACTTTTTTTTTGTTACTGTTAATAATCAAGAAAAAGGACATTCATATTATAAATTGGCCCGGATCTAATTGCTGTAAAACTGTAGTCCCTCATACTATTGCAAATGCATCTGCTAGGTCTTTACTTTCACACTAATATTAGTCCAATAAATCACCGTTCCAGTGGTCAAAGTGGTTAGAATGTCCGGCCGCGTTATACCAAAGACTACTAAAATGGTACCAATAGCTGCCTCACTTTGCGTTCATAATCAAGAGGTTAGTGTTGTGACTGGTCAGGACAATGTGACTGGGTGGGACATGATGCCAAAATGCAGACATAATATCAGTATAACTACAATTGTTAAAGCTACATTAAAAATCTAATCACCCCCTTCCCCGGGTCCAATAAATCAGATTTCAAATCTGCATTGATACTGATGGACTGTTTGTAGTTCTGAGAAAGAACTTTCTAGAAGGCCCAGGAAAAAATTGAGCAGCCATCCAAGCAAGCACACTAAATGGATGGGGCGAATTTTTCATGGGGCCTTTCTGTGCTAACGCCATGCAATATTTAAAAGCTCTGATAGACAAAATCCATGTAAACAAAAATATCCAGAACACACAATACCTGTCTTAGCACCGAAAGCATTGAAGAGAGATAAAATTTATTGAAGCACTTCTTGCTAAACAAGATGCAAAAAAATTCCCAGAAATAAACAAAACAAAAAAATACAAATGAAACTCAACTAAAGCAAGAAACACAAGCTAACAATGCAAAAAATCAATGTAATGCACAAAAAAAAAAAACCTACGTTAAAAGATGAAAATGAAGATGAAGAAAATTTGGACAAGTGATAAAGAATGGTATCCCGTAGATTGGCTGTTACTAAAGTCAGACTGCAATCATGTTCTTTTAAATTTTGGGCGTTTGTAAATAGCAGGTGGTTGGAATGTACTGGGGAATAGAGTCCCAGAAAAGGTAAGCAATACAATAGTAGAGTTAATGTATTACTGCTATTACAAGAAAATTATCTGATCCAGCAATTTCAATCAAAGCTCATAGCCAGCAATATATTTTGCAGTAAATTTGTAAAAGAGTCAGTCTGCATCTATTCTGTTGGCATGTTTGTGGAGATGATTCATCTAATTAGGATTAGCATTTTTTCATTCGATACAGATCCTTCTACAACTCTTAGACGACTTTAAGATGCCTGCTTTTTTCTAATTCAGCATCAATCTAAGTGCTTGCACGGCATTCAATTCAATCTACCTTGAAGAACGCAATAAATATTGCAATAAATATTCCGTCTCTGTCATGCCCAATCCTTGAGGAGTCATAATCAGGTGCAAATTAATGAAGCAACACAACAAATCATCAGCATTATAAACTGTGCAGTACTATCAAGACGACATGCAATAAGCCTGACTCTTACTGTATAACAAACTGTCAGTGATGATTGAGATGTCAAACATTTTTTAGTTTCACCCAACTACAACAGATAAAGAACATGAACAAAAAACAAAACACATTTGTTACTAATATTAAACATTTATTGAAAAAAAAAGCCAGATTCATCCAATTCTGGTAGAAAACAATTTACAACTTTTTTTTTAATAATTTGTAACATTTTTAGCAGAGCATTATAAAATAGGCAGTGTCTTCTACCAACTTTCAAACACATCCATTCATATAATTTTATTCCCGATTTTATTGTATAATTATAAAACCTAATTTTCTTGTCATTTACATTATTATCCGATCACCTAGAAACTTGTAATTTCAAATGCTTATTTTTTAAAAACAAATTTGTATGGATTCTTTTACACATCTAAGAAAAATGGATTTTTGTTTAATTCAAAGAAATATGAATGTACTGCGCTGGTTCAATACCAAAGAACCAAAGTGTTCTGCATGATATATTTTATCCTTATTAATAGACTGGAGTCCATTAAGCCGTTTGGCAAAAGAAAAGACGAATTATCAA